AAAGCGTATTCATTTAATGTCCTTCCTTCATTCAGACAGCATTTAGTGAACTCCTACTGTATGCCTCACATCACCTGGCACACACAAGTACAGTGGTGAGCGAAATGCAGTGGCCTGGCTTCACACAGGCCAGTGGGGAGCAGAGGGTGGTCATACCGACCTGGACATGTCCAGCCAGAGCTGTGGGCAGGGCTGGACAAGCCAGATCAGGGGAGCCCCAGCCCCAGGAGACATGCTTCCCTTTTCAGCATCAGGGGTCATTTGCCGTTTAAGGAAGACAGAGGACAGGGACCCTGTTACAGGCTGAGAGCTGGAGAGACTCGCATGACCGACACACATCCTTCCCTTCTGGGGAGCGGGGTGGTGGCTCCTGAAGAATCCGTGTCCATGTCCTCCATGTCAGCGGCATCACTGCACAGACACGCTCAGGGCACAGGAGCCTGGCAGCCCACCCCGGCCGGCCCAGGTGTCAGGGCAGGGTTCCCGGGTGGGGAGGGTAGAGAGGAACACAGTGAAGGGGCACCCACCATGAGACCAGACCTGCGGGCGGGAGGCCAGGCCAGAGGGGGCCTGGGCAGGGGTCAGACTGCATCAGGCATCAGTCATGGAGCAGGGAAGCTCCCAGAGTCATGTGACCTCCAGATGCCAGGGGATGACAGCCATGGTGAGCTGTGGGTGATGGGGTCCTGACACCTTTAGGAGACTCTTGTGTTGGAGAGGATCCCTGCTTTGTCCTGACTTGGGGGGTTGAGGGGAGACAGTGGGTTTTAGTGCCCTGAGTTAGGAGAATCAGGTAGTGAGAGGGCCCTGGGTGGGCGGGCAGGACCCACTTTTGTGGCAGCTTTAGTTTGAGAGGACAACGGGGGCAGGTGTCCAGGGCCCAGTGATGTGCAGGGGAGGGTGGCTAGGGTGGTGGCTCCAGCCAGAGCTGGTAGCGGTGGGCACCCTGGGATGGCCCCTCTGTTTTCGTTAAGTCCCCACCCCAGCGCCTCTGTTACAGCCCTCAGCCCCTCCTCTGGGGACTCCAGGTCCGATGTTAGGTAGGACAGCCTCATGAATTCTCAAGACATGCAACACCTCAGCCCTGATCAAGGTTGTGATCCCAGGGGGGCCATAACAAGTCACCACCACCTGGGGGCTTCAGACCCCAGAAGCATATTGTCTCACCGTCTGGAGTCCAGAGTCTCCAGATCTATGGTGTTGGCAGTTATGGTCCCTCTGGGGGGTCCTGCCTTGCCACCTGCAGCTCCTGGCAGCTCCAGGTGCTCCTGGAGCTGTTTTCTTCCCAAGGCCTCACCTTCCTTGGTCTTAGTCTCCCCCTGCCTGTCCCTTGTCAGGATGCTTGTCGTGGGATTCAGGGCACAACCAAATAATCCAGCATGACTTTGTCTTCAGAGCCTTCGCTGATTACAGTTGCAGAGACCCTCTTCCTGAGTCAGGCCACGTTCTCCCATTCTAGGTGAGTGAAAGCACTTTTGGGAGGCCGCAATCAACTCCCTGTGAAACCTAATGGGAGTGATGGAGAGCCGACAGGGACTTTCTTGTCCCTTCCTTCCCTCCAGGGACCTGAAGGTTTTTCAGAGTGATCACTTCTCTTCCTAAGAAGGCTGGGGCCCGACCCAACAGCTTAGCTCTCACCCTGCACACACTGCCACGTGACCCAGGCTGCAGATCTGCAGGCTTCCCTGAGTATACACCCATGGCCCTGACAGGTAGCCAGTGGGCACTGCAGTCTCTCTCCTGCCATCTTCACCAAAAGAAGGTCTGAGCACCTAGAAGTTCTGAGGGCTCTAGTGAGCTGACCAGAAGTGAAGCTCCCATGTAAAATGGGCAGGCTGCCAGCAGAACAGGACAACATTCCTTGTGCTCCGGTCTCTTGGGGCCAGGAAGAGCTCATGGTCAGGCCCCACCCAACCTGGCTCGCCATCATCACCAGCTCACCGCCTGTGTTCTTTCCTCTTCAGTGGTTTGGGAAAAGTTTCAGAAGGCTTCTCTTATAGTTGGTAAAGAATCCACCTGCAATGCAGGAGACCCTGGTTTGATTCCTGGATTGGGAAGATCCACTGGAAAAGGGATAGGCTACCCACTCCAGTATTCTTGGGCTTCCCTTGTGGTTCAGCTGGTAAAGAATCCACCTGAAATGCAGGAGACCTGGGGTTCGATCCCTGGGTTGGGAAGATCTCCTGGAGAAGAAAAAGGCTACCCACTCCAGTGTTCTGGCCTGGAGAATTCCATGAACTATAGTCCATGGGGTCACAAAGAGTTGGACTTGACTGAGGGACTTTCACTTTCACTTCAGAAGGATATATGTTATCTCTTAAGTGTTTGCTAGAACTCATCTGTGAAGCCATCTGGTCCTGGACCTTCAAATGTAGGGAGTTTTTTCATCAAGGTTTCAGTCTCAGTACCTGTGGCTGGTCTGCTCTGGCTCACTTGTTTCCGAGCTCTGCGCAAGTATTGGTTCCACAGATGACATGTCCTTAGGGTCCTGAACTATGTTCCTTTGTCATGAACAGCCTCACTATTCACGATGAGGTGCCCCTTGGGAAAGCCACAGTTTCAGGCAGTTGATTGGGGGTCACCGGCACCCCAGACCCTCCTGGAGAGGTCCGCTGACTCTGGGTTGCAACCTGAGGGGCCCCTAAAGCAGAGCTCTGTGTCTGAGTGGAGGTGTGTGTATGTGTGTGTGTGTGTGGAGGGGGGCTGGTCCTGGGTGGGAATCAGCGGTGTTTACACTCATGCTCATGACCAGAACCAGCAGTGGACACGCCGGAGACAGTGCAGCGTTATTGAGCAGGCCACTGAGTAAGGGGTCATGGGGCCATGCTCTCCAGAAACACAAGGGCCAGTCTGGAAAATGGCAGGAGGATAGAACACAGGAAACCTCTGCCCTTTCCTGGAGCCAGGTGAGAAGCAGGGCTGTGGCTGGGGCCTGGGGAAGGGAGATGGGGATTGGCCCTGACCAGGTGACCATGGGCTGTTAGCCTCTATGCCTGGCATCTGGGAGTTCATCTGTGCAGGCCTGGCGAGTGATTTATTATATCCAGGTCCATTGGTCTAACAGTGCCTGGGAGCTATCAGTGTCCTGCAGTGACCTGTCCTGGGGGAGAGAGCTGCCCCAGACCACGCCACAGGGACAGCCCCCAGCTGTCACCACCTGCCCCCAAACTGTGTGTCAACTGGTTTCTTACCCAGAGTGCATCAACCACTGAGACCAGGAGCCCTTACTGTCTTATCCCACTAGGGGATTGTTCTGTGACTGGTGGCACTATGCCCTCCGTCACCTGCCCTGATTTGTGGGAGCCACCCAGTTGGCCTTGAGAGAGGAAGGTCCACCTCCTCTGTGATGGGAAGTGCAGCCCGGTGGGTAGCGAGTTGGCTGAGTCAATGGGCCCGGAGCATCCCAACCCAGGAGCTTGAACTGTCCATGGGGTATGACCACTGTACTTACAGCACGCAGCCCAGCCAATTAGGGCGTAGGGTCTTAGGCATTTTATACCGAGTTAAAGTTTCCTGGTCCAGGCAGATAATACTTTGGGAAGTCTCACAATGCCATCAGAGGGTGTTATGAGCAGAATACTTCACTGTGCAGTTTTATTTGCCATGCCCATGTCTCTTGCATCTCCCGCATTGGCAGGCAGGTTCTTTACCGCTGAACCTTCCTTGGTGAATTTCCTTCTGAGCATGTTGTCCTTGGAGATCAGGGTCCCCCTTAGCTGTGGGGCTGTTCCACTCTCCTCGCTCAGGAGCCTGTGGGGAGGTCAAAGCCAAGGTCTGAGGGGAGCTGCTTGGCCCTTGACCTTTGTGCCTTCATCCCCCTGGGGTCACCAGCCTTGGCCTGACCTCCAGGTCACCCAGCTCTGCATGCCCAAGGCTCCATCCTTGTCTTCCTCCCCTACCTTCCCTGCCCTTGGCCACCTGTTTGCCTCACTCTGGGCTGCCTGATGGGAGTCCTTGACTGGAGCACCAACTTCTGAGAGCAGGGCTGGGTGTCCCCATCCTGCCCACTGCAGCCCCTGTGCAGAGCTGAGTCCCAGTGGCAGGAGAATGGGATTGGGGGACCCATAGCAGCTGGACCGAGAAAACGTTTAGGTTCAGGGCATGGGAGTTCCAGCCCCCATATCTTTTAAAAGTGAAAAAAAAAAAAACTCTTCCACTTTGAAACACACACATACACACAGACACACACATGATGACAATACACCCGTGTGCCGTTCACTGATTGCACACTTTATATGCCATCCTCCCTTGTGATGCCATAGTGATGCCCATTGCACAGATGATATAAGCAAATTGAGGCCAGGGAGGCTCCCTGCTTGAAGTCACTCCGCTGGTGAGTTTGGGCCCAGATTTGAATCCAGGCAGCCAGGCTCCAAGATTCCAGCTCTTAAATAACATTTATCCTGCCTCTCAAGCTTTTTCCCCTTGGTTGTGATGGCAGGTCATGGTGATTGAAAAAAGTTTATAAAACCCTGAAAATAATTTTAAAATCTTAAATGAACAGTAAAATCTTAAATGAACAGCATACAGGAATTGCTATCAATATTTTGCTGTGTGCCTCCCTAGGTTTTCTCTGCATGTCTGGTACCAGGTCTGCAGTAATTGCTGTGGTTCCATTATAGGGATCATCATAGTTAACCATGTCCTCCCAATAAACCATATGACACCTTTTATGCCTCTGCACTCTCCATTCCCGGGCATGTATTTCCTTTTAATTAGGGACAAGGGTCACCAGAGTACTGGTAATTTCACAAGGTCTCTTTTAGTAGGATGATTGTAAGTTCCATAAGAGTGGTCCTCTTCCCTTCCTTGTAGACTGGTTCTCATCTTTCAAATGTGGTTGCTCTGAAGTGAAAATGTCTCCTTGAAATTAACCATCTGAGGCATCTGATAGACCTAGTTGTTCATGGAGAAGGACACCTGGAACACCTGCGAAGCGGCCACATGGAACCAGGAGATGGCTGCTGAAACAGAGAGTAACTGCATTTCTCCCCTGCTAGGTGAAATGGCTCCAGCAACAGGAAGTTAAACGCAGGGTGAAGAGACAGGTGCGAAATGACCCGCAGGCACTTTATTTCAACGATCCCATCTGGTCCAACATGTGGTATATGGTAAGTAGGCCATGGGCCTCTGTCCCTACCCTGTGTTTCTGAGACCGGTCAGCTCCAGACAGACGCACTTCATTTGTGTGTAGAACCCCTGTTTCAGTGCTGTCAGGCACATGCTGACTTGTGAATTTCTTTCATTATGTGAGGGTCAGGGGGATGGGCCCCCGGAGCAGGGGAGGGTGGGCGGCACTGTGAGACATGGACAGAGCCCCTGAAGGGCGGAGACACCAGGAAGAGCTGTGGGGACATGGCCTGGCTGGGGCCGGAGGGCCTTCCGTGTACACGTGGCCAGGTCAGGGCGGGAGAGCAATGCAGCCCTCCTCAGAACTCTTGCTAGGACCAGGAGGAAGAGGGAAGGTCCTGCCCTATCCTCCCGCGAGCACCACACACCTCTGCTGGGCTGGCGGGTCTGTGTCAGGCGTGTCCGTGCTGGGGCCTTTGTGTCTCCTGTGTCTGCAGCACTGTGGTGACAAGAACAGCCGCTGCCGGTCAGAAATGAACGTCCAGGCGGCGTGGAAGCGGGGCTACACAGGAAAGAACGTGGTGGTCACCATCCTGGATGACGGCATAGAGAGAAACCACCCCGACCTGGCCCCAAACTACGTAAGTGGAGTCTTGGCCTGGCTCCCTGAGACGCTCACCTGCGCTGGTCATTACCTGGGAAGACTACAGCATAACCTACTTAAGCCCCGCCCCACCCCGCCCCATTACGTCATAGTACGGAAACCGAGCTGGTGGTGCTGGTGAGCCCAGCAGCCCTGAGCCTGGGGTGTGTGAGAGGGTTCCTAGGCACTGCTGGGGCCCTGCGAGGCTCAGATGTCTGTGCATGGGTGTGTGTGGGGTGTCCCCTCTACACACGTGTCTGTGTGTCTGTTTACCTTCAGGTCTGCATGTGTGTGGTGTGTGTGTGTGTGTGTGATGGTTGTGTGTAGGGACCCTCTGCCTGTCAATCCTCCAGTTGTGCAGAGAAGAGAACCTGGCACGTGGTAACTTTTGAGAACTGCCTTCGAGATTCTGAGGCATTTGGGTGCCTCGGTTATGTCAGTCCTCTCATGTTGGTTGGGTAGATGGTTATGCACCCTTAATAATGTCAGTTTTTAAATTTTATCTTCTTAAAACATTTATTAAAGTAAAGTTTATAATGTATTAATTTTTGCTGTCTGGCAAAGTGACTCAGCTATACATGTGTAAAACATCTTTTCTGTTATGGTTTATTACAGGATATTGAATATAGTTCGCTGTGCTGTATAATAGGACCTTGTTATTTATCTACCCTATATATACTAGTTTGCAAAGGATGACAGTTTTGAAGTCAACAATCAGAGCTTTTACAGCATGTCTTAAAGGAAGATAGGAGATTATACAGATACTATAAGTATATAAAGCAAAAACATATGTATTAAAAATATAAGATGAAGGAAATTAAGAGGCATAGCTACCATATGGATGAACCGTGAAGACAGTAATCTGGGTCACAAAATGACACACAACTGATTGTTACTGATATTGCAAGTCTGTGTGCCCAACACACAGTGAGGCCCATCAATACTAAACATTAGACTTTGGCACAGAGAAAAGTTTATTATAGGTTCGTACAAGAAGATGGATGGCTCGTGCCCTAAGAACCCCAAAGTTACTGAAAGCTTTCAGGGAGGCCCTGTGAAAGCAAAAGGTGAGGTGAAGGCGAGGTTAGTTGTTGCAGACTTCTCTGTGTCAGATCCTTTGTTCCTGAGATCAAGTGGTCAGGTAATGATGTTCCTATAAATCTCTACCAGATGAAAGTTATTCTCTGTCCTGACAAGAAAGCAGGGTCCCAAGGCACAGCTTTCACCCTTCAAGGTCCCAGTCCTGGCTAGAAGGAGACAAGTCTCAGTTGGCAACTCCCTCAGGGCTATGAGGAAGCCAGGCATCCAACCCACTGGCCCTCAGGCTCCTCAGGCCACCCAAATGGGGAGACCGGGTCCCACAGACTGTGACCCAAACAGATGGCCACTGCTAGTTAGGTTGTAGAGACAAGGATGGGAGAGAGGTGCATGGCTGCTTCAAGGCCTGGGGCAAAGTTAGTGGGTGGCCTTGGCAAGGGCTCTGGAGCCCTGAGGGCCATAGTCTCCAGTCTGCTTCCTGGGCCCCCAGCTCACCGAAGGGTAAGCTGCAGGGTCTCCAGGAGAAGGCCTGAATCTGCCTCTTACCTCACTCTCCACCTGATGACCACCACACCACTGACCCTTGATTCAGTCACTGCTACCGTGGTTCCTCAGTGTCAGGTCCTAGTGGTCAGGGCCCACTGCAGCACTGACCAATAGCTGAGCAGCACAAATAATGGTTGCTCATTGACAGTTGGCTGCTTGTGGGGCTGGGCCCACTGAGGCACCAGAGTAATGGTTGAGGAACCCTGTTGCCTAGTAACAGGGAGCAGAGTAATGGCTGCTTGCTAATCCCACTCTGTTACATGATCTCATGTAGGTGAGGTCCCTGGAGTAGTTGTGTTCATAGAGATGGAAAGCAGACGGTGGCTGCCAGGGCTGGGGAGGGAGGATCAGGAGTTAGTGTTTAAGAGGTGCAGAGTTTCGCAAGATGAATCCTGTGGATGGATGGTGCTGGCAGCCACACAACTTGTGGATGTACTTAGCACCACTGAGCTGTAAAAATGGTTAGGGTGGTAAACTTTATGTGTATTCACCACATAATTATATATATGTATAATTGTTGTTGCAGTAAGAGAATGCCCGGCTTGTTTCTGTTTCCAGTCAAGGCTTAAAACCAGTTATAAACAGAGTTGTGATATGCTGGGCCACTTCTGTTTGGTCACCCAGGTTTCATTTTTTAGGATTCCTACGCGAGCTATGATGTCAATGGCAACGATTATGATCCGTCTCCACGGTACGATGCCAGCAACGAGAATAAGTACGTCCTGTGTCACCTGCCTGACCCCTACTTGCTTCTTTCTCTGTTGCTGTCCCCGCACATGGTGGAGCCAGCCCACATGGGGACACTGGGCCGGAGACAGGCTGGGGGCAGCTCTCTGCCTACTGGTGGGGTCTGGGGCTGACCACCAGGAGCCAGCCCCACACCGCCTTCCAGGCTCACAGGCTCAGTGGGTCTGGCCCCTTCCTGTGGGCTGTCACTCTGCTGGTCAGCTGCAGTGGATGTTGGGCCAACATTGTTCCTGTTTGCAACATTGTTGGAATATCTCATGGTCTGCACAGCCAGCTGTGTCCAGATCACAATGTGTTCTCTCGGATCACTTGGTCAGCACCCAAGCCTTCTTGACCCTGTCTTTGACCTCACAGGGGCAGTGGCAGAGGCCCATGTGATGCTGGGGCTGGCTGTGTGGCTCTGTGCAAGTGGGGTGACCTTGCTGAGTCTCGGTGTCAAAGAAGTCTTGTGTCCTGATGTTTCCTCCTCCGAGGGCTGGGGGCGGGGGTGAGATGACGGGTGAGGGACACACCATTACTGTTCGGTCATTGAAACTTGTGAAAGAGGGAGTGGGGGTGGTCTGGAGAGACTGGGGGACTTGGCACCATTGGTAGCAACCCTGGGGGTGATGTCCAGTTTCCCAAACCTGCCTGGGTGCTCCTGTCCGGTGTCTGGCCAGACCTTCCTCCATCAGCCGGCCCTGTGCACTGGCTCATCCCCTTCTTCCAGAAGTGTTTAGAGGATGGTGGAAGTCCTTTCTTCCTTTCCTTTGCTGACACGAAGCCTACAAGGTGTGTCCTCCTCAGAGTTCCCTGTTTCAGTCCATTTGATGCTGAGGTTGGAGTCCTGGTGCCCCAAGGGAGCCCCTCAGGAAGGCTTAGCCAGTGGAGGCAATCAGCGGGCTGGCCACAGTGCTCCTGGCGCCCGTGGAGGCCTGGCCTCATGTCCAGGTTCCCTTCCCACTCCATGGCCACCACACTGGGGCTGCAGGGTGCAGCGGGCAGGGAGGGACCACCCAGATGTGGCATGGTGAGTCCTGAGTGGGATCCTGGGCCCATGACTCAGGGACAGCCCCAGCTGCAGGCACACATGGTCCAGAGTGTGGACCGAGGGAGGGCTGCCCCGGGGGCTGACAGTTGGGCCCAGAACTGGCTTTAAAGGTGGTTTTGATTCTGAATGAGTGATTCTCATCTCTGATGGACCTTCTCAGAGATGTGCCTGCTGTAGGTGGCAGAGTGAGGTCATTACTGAGGAGAGTGCTGACCTCGGGTCACCTCTTTCTATTCCACCTACTGCTGTTGAGTGTTCCGTGTCCAGCCCTCCTCCTTGCCCTCTGCTGGAATGGCCGTGGAAAGGTGTGTGGGGGGAGGGGTCTGCCCAGGGTGAGCATGGGCCAGGGAGAGGGCTCAGGGGACAGAACCTAAGCCTTTGTTTGTTCTTATTTCATCTCTGCAGCCAGGCCAGCATCCGCACTGTGCTGTCAGTCAGGGGGACGCAGAGCCTGGGGGGTGGGATGCAGAGGCCATGGGTGCCCAACAGAGCCCAAGCCTGATACAGGTGCATCACATCTGCAGGGCAGCCTGTGGGGCACGTGGATGGCCCAGCAATGATGGGGAGGGATGGGGGACAGCCTCAGTGTCCCCCCGCTTAGGGACAGTGGCTTTTCTTGCAGGAGGGTCCTGACGGGGGCGCACGGATGGCCCCGCAGTTATGGGGAGGATTGAGGGAGGACCTCAGTGTCCCCAGCTTAGGGTCCTGATTGCCTTCTCTCCTTCCCGCAGACATGGCACTCGCTGTGCAGGAGAAGTCGCCGCCTCCGCCAACAACTCCTACTGCATTGTAGGGGTTGCATACAATGCCAAGATTGGAGGTGAGGCCCAAGTGCACTGCCGAGGGGCTCAGGCTGGCCTGGGTGCAGGATGCAGTCCCCTGCAGGTCTGGGAAGCTGCATTCCCCATGGTGTTGGACCCAGTCGGATCCTGGGCCTCACCTCACACTGCCTGGGGCCTGTAAAGCCTCCATGGGTGCTGGTGTCTGGCCCCTGAGTCACCACTGTCAAGCTGACTGCTCCAAGAGACTGCTGGGTCCTGCTGCTGGCCTTCCCAGGCTTGCCAATCACTCTCCCAGCAGGATTTATGGTTTTCACCTGAGAGGAAGCCTAACCTTGGCCCCAACTCCTGCTGTAGCCTCCTGGCCCACTGTACCTGCCCCTCAGCTTTAGCCAGAGGACATTTGTCACAGTGACCCGCAGACATGCCTGGTCTCCCCTGTTTATCATGGACTTGTAGCATTCACATCACCCCAAAAGCCTCCCTGCCTCCCTTTTGGGTTAGTCCACCCATGACTTAGAGTTGCCCACACCCAACTGTGCTTCCATGGAGGCTCTCGAAGCTGGATGCTCCCACCTTGTTCTCCAGGGGGTCAGCCTTCCAGGGCCCTGTACCCAGTACCTGGCCCAGTGACCCGGTACTATTTTCCCCATTGGAGAGTCAGGCTTCTCTTGTCAGCATGGGGCTTTAAGAGCAGAGTCATGCAGCTTCCTCTCACCTCCTCCGCCCAAGCCTGGCAGTTGGTCATTTCAGAATGGCAGAGGGTCATTCAGCATGTCCTCTGCAGTGTCTTGTAGGTGCATGTGGCTGAACTGGCACTGAGCAGGTGTGTGCCGGGCCTGAACAGTCCCCGACCGTCCACTTTGCCTCGGGGCACTGCGTCCTCACCTGTGGCTCTGGCCCTCAGTTTGGAAGTACTCATATGCATGCCAGTGGCTGTGCTGGGTGCCTCCTTCCCATGGCATGTCCTTCTCTGCTGCTTTTCCTTTATGAAGGGCCATAGCTCTTTCAGCTCTATGATGAGCAGTGAGAGGTGGGGAGGTTGGGCCAGGGGTTCTGTGGGTCACTCAGTCCTTGGGGAGCTTCTTGAGTTTTGAGAAAAGACTCCCCAGCTTTCACTTAATGAGGACTCTCCACCTGCCCTCTCCCTGGAAACCTTTGAAGTGGCTGGGACTTGTCAGTCTGTGACATCATTAACCACCAAGAGCATGTCCTGCAGAGAACAGATCAGAGGACTGTCACCTGACCTCACTCCATCAAGGACAGTTCTTTTATGTTGAGATGTGTGAGGTCTCCCTGGAGCCTTTGGTGAGTGAAGACCCATGAAAAGTCTACCTGACTGATCTGGACACCAGTTGAATTCCCACCACCCACTGCCTCTGTGTCCTGGGACAATGGGTGTAAACTCTCTGTGATCAGGAGTGGGGTTGCCATGGAGAAGGGGTTGGGGTATTGGCATTGACCCAGGGAACCTATGACAGCCACGTCTCCAGAGCTGCTGCACACAGCATCAGCCTCTCCACCCTCTTCCCACCCTCCCTCCAAGCCCACCCTGGACAGGGAGCCTTCAGGCACCCTAACACAGCCTCCCTATCCACATGCTGACACAAAGCAGGGAACTTCTCTGAGACACCCTGGTGTGTCCATGAGCTCTACCTTTTTATATCTTTTCTATTTCTAAAGTTGTTCAAGAGATTAAAGTGTATATCCTAACTCACTCCAATCTATGTGGAGTTAATATTATACAACTTCATGTATAGTATATGAATCTAAAACATTACTTGAGTTCACACTTAGTGTCATCTTTTGTTTTTATGTTTTCATATTTTATAAACCCAGTGTTTATTCTTGCTGTAAACAGTTGGCTTGTGAAAAGAAATATACTTACCTACATGTTTACTGTTCCTTATTTTCTAGCTTCATATTCCTTCTGTCTGGTTTCAATTTTTCTCCAGCCTGAGAATTTCTTTTACTGCTTTAGTATTTCTTGAAGTGTAGGTATGCTGGTGAGAAATCATCTCAGCTTTTATCTGAATTTCATCTTCTTTGAAAGAAGTTTTGGTGAACATAGAATCCTGGGGTGACATGGTTCTCTCTCAGCCCTTTAAGGTGCTGTTCCATTGTCACTGGCATTCATTGTTTCTGATTATGAGTTGGTTGTCATCCTTATTGTTGTTCTTTATGTAATGTGAGTTGTTTCTCTGGCTACTTATACTTAGTCAGAGTAGGTATTTTTTTCTCCTCTATGCTTTGTCTATGATGACTCTGATGGCCCTTGGTGTAATTTCTTTCATAGTTATCCCCCCTGGGGCTTGCTGTGCTTCTTAGTGGGTTGTTTGTTTATTCTTTCTTTTTCTAAATGAAGTTTGGAAAAATTTCTGTCAATGTTTCTTTAAATATTTTTTGCAATCCTGTTGTCTCTCTCTTCTCTTTGGGCACCAGTTATAGCTGTTATATTGCTTGATATATCTCACAGGTTAAAGCTGTATTCATTTTTTAAATCTTTTTTTTCATGTGTGCTTCAGATTTGATCATTTCTTTTGCACTGTTTTCTTCAAGTTCACCAATCCTTCTTTTTGTTCTATCCAATCCATTATTTCCACCCAATGATTTTTTTCCTTTTTCTTTCCTACTCAAATATTGTGCTTTTCTGTTCTTTGATGTCCATGTGGCTATTTTTTTCACTATTTCAAATCTTTTCTGACATTCTCTTTCTCTTCATCCATTATACCTATATTTTATTTTGGATTCTTTAACATATTTATGAGCTTTTTTTACAGTCTTTTGTACTGATTCCAATAGCTTGGTCATATATGGTTATGTTTCTCTTTTTAAAATTGAAATGTAGTTGATTTACAGTGTTTCAGGTGTACATCAGAGTGGTTCATATATATAATATATATACATGTATCTTCAGATTTTTTCCATTATAGATTATTACAAAATATTGAAAATAGTGTTGTATAGTATGTCCTTGTTATTTATCTCTTCCATATATAATATGTATCTGTTATTCCCAAATTTAAGTCAGATGAAAACAAATATATGATATCACTTTATGTAGAGTTTATAAAACTGATACAAGTGAACTTACCTGCAAAACAGAAACAGACTCACAGACATAGCCACAGACAAGCTTCTGGTTACCAAAGGGAAGTGAGGGATAAATTGGGAACGTGGGTATGTTTCTAATCATTGATTTTTCTTTTTACAGTGTGCAACATACTCCTGTTTCTTTGCACATGTCTAGTAATTTTTTATTGTACCCTAGACATTGTTCCACTACATTGTAGGGACTTTTGATTCTATTATCCCTGAATACAATTGAGTGTTGTTCTTGTTGTCAGTTCAATTTTTTATTTTGTAATGACTCATCTGTTCTGATTTGCCCTTCTCCTTAGAGGAAATCCTTTAGCTCAAGAACAGTCTTTACTCTTAGATGTTATTATTGTTCAGTCGCTAAGGATACTGTGACTCTTTTAGTATTTCAGTGGAAACACTGAAGCGTTTAACTAGCATTTCTAAGTTAGCAAGGTTCAAGCTTTAAGTTGACTGCAGTGCCCCTGCAGTGGCAGCAGCTGGAGTATCTGCTCACTCATTCAGCCTCCCCCTATTCCTCTCTACCTGGGCTTCTTAGAGACTTGCCCAGATGTGCTCCATGCAGGGCTTAGCTGAATATCTGAGGGAAGTTTATGTATGTCTTCTCTAGCTCTCTGCTTTCTAGGATTTCTCTCAATTTCCAGCTTCTCTAATAGTTCCAGACTCAATCCCACAGCTCCCCATTAGCATAAGATTGCATATTCCTGATTGAGTTCTAGCTTCTCTGTATTCAGAGACATGAGTAGTTCCCTCAGAGGAAAAGTGTTATGAACCTGCATCATACCCGGTACGGTTGCTCTTTTACAAACTGAATCACCTGCTTCTGCCTTCTTCTGGTTGCTTTCCAATGCCCTTAAAAAGTTATTGTTTTCTTAAGTCTTTAGTCCAGAGTTTATAATTATTATTTTTAAAAGAGTTAGTGTGATAGAAGCTACTCTGCCTTTATTGGAACTAACACTTGTGGTTTCTATTTCTTTACCAAATAGATGGTGTATTCCCTGGTGGCTCAGATGGTAAAGAATCCACCTGCAATGCAGGATACCTGGGTTTAATCCCTGGGTTGGGAAGATCTCCTGGAGGAGGGCATGGCAACGCACTCCAATATTATTGCCTGGAGAATCCCCATGAACAGAGGAGCCTGGCAGGCTCCATGGGGTCACAAAGAGTCAGACACGACTGAGTGACTAAGCACAACGCAGCACATTGCTACATGGCAGTTACTCCAGCAAACATTTGTGATCTAGCACAGATAGTGGATTAACTAAGTGATTCCAGCTGAGGGTCATTCATGAGGTTGGCTGTGATTGTCATCTGAGGGCTCGCTGGTGGCTGGAGTATCTACTTCCAGGACAGGTCACTTATTTGGTTGTTGGCTAGAGTCCTCCATCCCCTCCTGACTGTTGGCAGGAGGTCTAGCTTCCTCCTCATGTGTACTCTCCGTGGGGTTACCAGAGTGCCTGCGGCATGGTACCTAGCTTCTCTCACTGCAGGTGATTCAGAGAACCAGCAGGAAGCAGCAGTGCTTTTTATGATATGGTCTTAGAAGTCACACACAGTCAGTTCAGGCACACTCTGTTCTTTAGAAATGAATCCAAAATGTACTCAAGAGGAGAGACATTAGGCTGCATCTGTTGAATGAAAAAGTGTCAAATAATTGTGGATATGGTTTAAAATCACCACAGAGGGGCTCCTAAAAGTTTACTATATATTTATACAAATGGAATAATTTTTTTCTACCAACTTTCTTTGTAGAATTGAGTGTTTCTTACATGTTTTATCATAGGAAAATAAATGGAATAAAAAGTGGCACTGTCCAAATTATGTCTTTAAAATAATACGCTTGCTTGCTAACAAGTCAAAATAACTCCACAATGTATGTAATGCTTTATCAAAGTGCAGAGGAGGACAAGGAAGGTAAAATATCATCTGGAACTTTGTGAAA